GTAAATGCTAGAGAGGGTGTGGAGAAAAGGGAACACTCCTGCACTGCTGGTGGGAATGTGAATTGGTACAGCCACTGTGGAGAACAGTATGGAGGTTCCTTAAAAAACTACAAATAGAACTACCATATGACCCAGAAATCCCACTACTGGGCATATACCCTGAGAAAACCATAATTCAAAAAGAGTCATGTACCAAAATGTTCATTGCAGCTCTATTTACAGTAGCCCGGAGATGGAAACAACCTAATTGCCCATCGTCGGATGAATGGATAAAGAAGATGTGGCACGTATATACAATGGAATATTACTCAGCCATAAAAAGAAACGAAATTGAGCTATTTGTAATGAGGTGGATAAACCTAGAGTCTGTCATACAGAGTGAAGTAAGTCAGAAAGAGAAAGACAAATACCGTATGCTAACACATATATATGGAATTTAAGAAAAAAAAATGTCATGAAGAACCTAGGGGTAAGACAGGAATAAAGACACAGACCTACTGGAGAACCGACTTGAGGATATGAGGAGGGGGAAGGGTGGGCTGTGACAAAGCGTGAGAGAGGCATGGACATATATACACTATCAAACGTAAGGTAGATAGCTAGTGGGAAGCAGCCGCATAGCACAGGGATATCAGCTGCATGCTTTGTGACCGCCTGGAGGGGTGGGATAGGGAGGGTGGGAGGGAGGGAGACGCAAGAGGGAAGAGATATGAGAACATATGTGTATGTATGACTGATTCACTTTGTTATAAAGCAGAAACTAACACACCATTGCAAAGCAATTATACCCCAATAAAGATGTTAAAAAAAAAAAGAAAATGCCTTTGTAAAGTATCCAAAATTGTATGCTAAAAACATAAATAAAAACAAGTAGGTGTAGAAATAACCTTAAAAATAAGGTTCAGCTGAAAACAATTCACTTCAACTGAAAGTTGTAAGCAATTTTTAAAACTTTAGAACCAGATTTTTTTTTTACTTTATGCAATATATTTGCAAATAGTATTAATGTGCTAGTACTTTACATACTGCCACTTATCTCAAGACATATATCAAACATCTCTAAAATTTTATAACCATAGAATTTTAGAACTAGGGTGAATCCAAACATTCTCTGGCCTTTCTTTTCCCTGCTGAAAAGTGAGCACTTAAATATCTAAGTCATTCTCCTTTCAGAAAGTGATTATTACCCTTTTCTATAGCTACAGAAGAGAAATGACCCAGAGATCATTGGGCAACATCTGCAGTGAAGCTGTGTCAGCTCATCATAAACAACTTCCCAACCATTTGAGCTATGACAAAAGGAATGAGATTCCTTGTGGAAATGGAATTTTTCATCCCTGAAGGTTTTCAGTCAGAAGCTGGCTGATCATTTATTAATATGTTATCAAAGAACATAAAAACATTAGTAGCTATTATTAATTGAACTCCTAAGTTGTTCCTGGAATAGTGATAGGTTTATTTATGTACTTTTATCTTCAGTCTCTACAACAACCTTGCAAGGTATAGAGGTATCACCACCAATTTACAGATGAGGACATTTAGGAGGTTGAGTGGCTTGCCTGTGATCACACAGCTAATTAGTAATAGAAAACTCAGTCTGTCTTCTTTTGAGTAGTGATTTTTTTTTCTTATCATGAAGATCTGATGAAGTGTAGACTCTTTCCTCAGAAAAACACTGGTAAGTATAACTTTGATACAACCGCAGAGGTTTTATAGTTCCTAGAATTCCCTCTATAAATCTCTTAGAAACCCATTTATCTTGTGTTAAGAATCTGTGATTTAACTAAAAAATAAGTTTCAACTTAAAAAAACAAACCCCCCCCCCCCGAAAGAAAAACACACTTGACTGAGCTCCACACCCCTAGTGCCAATTTCTTTGGTCTAGAATGGGGGTTCCAGCATTCATAAATTTTAAAGGCTCCCTAGCAGTTTCTGTTATGAAGACAGGGTTGAGAACCCCTGGTTTAGTTAGGCTGGATGACTTATAAAGTCCACTCCAACTCTGATGTTCAAATACAATAACATTCAACAGCAAATCCAATCTGTCTTCTTTTTAAAAAAAAGGTTTTTTTGAATTTTTGAATTTTATTTTATTTACTTTTTTATACAGCAGGTTCTTATTAGTTATCTATTTTAATATTTATTTATTTATTTAATTTTCTTTTTATACAGCAGGTTCTTATTAGTTATCCATTTTATACACATCAGTGTATACATGTCAATCCCAATCGCCCAATTCATCACACCACCACCCCCAACCCCTGCCGCTTTCCCCCCTTGGTGTCCATACATTTGTTCTCTGGTGTCCATACGTTTGTTCTCTACATCTGTGTCTCAATTTCTGCCCTGAAAACTGGTTCATCTGTACCATTTTTCTAGGTTCCACATGTATGTGTTAATATATGATATTTGTTTTTCTCTTTCTGACTTACTTCATTCCGTATGATAGGCTCTAGATCCATCCACGTCTCTACAAATGACCCAATTAAAAAAATTTTTTAATACAATTTTTAAAGGTTACAGTCCACAAATCCAAGTTTTCTAATCTTTCATACTTGGTAGTTTGGTTTTATGTCAATGGATGAGTCTTGGGAGCTATGTTCATCCATCACCACATCTACCAACAAGTGGTCTGCCTCTAAACGTATGTTTGTTTCACTTGGTTTCTATGGACTACTCCCTTATTTTTTCAACCCATATCTATTAGAAACCTACCTAGTATGCACAATGAAATGGATGCTATATGAACTGGGAAATAAAGATGAGCAACAAACATTCTCTGCTGTTAATAAAAGTCATGATGTAGTGATGACTGTCTCTTGTGCTTTTCTGTTTTAAAATTCACACCATTTTTCATAAAAGAACTCTGTAGCTGGCACTTAGCTTTATTATCCATTTTCTTTCTTGAGATTATACAAAGGAAAGGTGACATAAGTACTGTGTGAGTTAAGATCATGTTCAGTTGCTGCAAGAAGTTTCTCTTTTACCTAACGGTGTGGCTGTGATCGGTTTGAGGATGACATGGTATCTCCATGGTGTCACGGACCCAAGCACCTCTTATCTGATTACTGTGCCATTATTTGATTACTCTACGATCCTCAAACTATAGCATCCATTTTTTTGGTCTAAGACTGCTGCTCCAGTTATTACCATTGCATCTACATTTCATCTAAAGAAGGGGAAGGCAAGATTGTTCTCCTTAAGAAGTTGACCTGAAAATTGTACAGTTCATATTTGTTTACATTCCATTGATCATAGACTAGTCTGTGGTCATGTCTGGCTTCAAGGAGGCTGGGAAGTGTGGTCTTTAGAGTAATTGGATATTTAGGTGGTTCCATTGTTCAGTTTTCTCGTAGTAACCCCTAGTTTGTCATTGTTTCACTTTCTTCTTTTTAAAATCACTGAAAATACATGTTCAGAAAAGTCTTTTAAAATAAGTGAACAGTCATTATTAAATCATGGTGATAGAAAAACTGTAGAGAAAAAAAAAAAGAACATCAGTAGAATCATAACCTAGCAACTGTTTGATAAACACTTTAAACTTGCAACGTTCTTCAAGTGCCGACTTTTAGTCCTACTTCTTCCTCTAATTAGCTGTATGATTTCAGATGTCACTTGACATTTGTGTCTTGGTTTCTTTATCTGTAAAACAGTAATATTGTCTAATTCTCAAGGTTACTCTCATGATTAAATGAATTCATGGATATAGAAGTGTTTTTGAACACTGGAAAGCACAATACAGACATACAATGAGTGGTATTGCTTTTCTTGTTACATACTGCACAATGCCTTGTATTGAGGCATAGACTTCCACTGATGGAATCTTGGGGTGTTATTGTTCTGGAGCAGTTACCTTGATCCTACTTCTGGACTCCAGGGATAGCCTGGTGCTTCATTGCCTCCACCAGAATCTTCCAACTGGGGATGGGTTTCCTGGCTAACTACAGATCCAGAGGGCAGGCCAGGTCACTACCTATATTTCTTAACTGCCTGTTAAGCAAGCATGGAGTCCTTTTGGTTTTTCTTAGTTTTCTAATACTAATATTCACTAGAGATATTATCAACAAAAATTCAGAATTACAAGTTAATTTTCCAAAGCTTGCACAGCAGAGGTCTCTGTACCTTCACTGAATTACAGATTTATTTCCTACTCTGAGTTTCCATGTCTTCAATTTTTCTCTCTGCATTCATTCATTCATTCATTCATCAAACATCTATGGAGGCCCTACTATGTTCCAGGCACTGGGAATCAAAGGTGAATAAGCATTCTTTTAGGTGAATTGAAGTGTAATGATGTACCTGGGTTTGTTGTCTCTTCCTGACCCTAATGCTCAATTAACCTACCTCATGCATCTTTGACTATGTTACTATGTCCAGAAAAGTTGGGCAGTGTCATGTGCTCAGAACATCTGCAGCACAGATTGTTTTTCACTAAGCACAGCACAGATATACAGACTTCACACTGATTTCATCATGTAAGAATGCTTCCTGGCCCCAGCTTCATACACACACCACAAAGATAGCTTCTGTCCTCCTTCCTTTCCTTGATGCATCCTTCACCGAAGCATTTTAGATATAAAGTTAAATAGGGAAGCATATGGGGAATGGGACAAAAATCATCCTAACTTCCCCATGCCACCTCTCCAACTCCAAATTTTCAAGAGGCATTATTGGAGTGCACCATTGTTTTGGTAACAATACACCAATTTTTTTTTTTTTTTTTTTTTTTGTGGTACGCGGGCCTCTCACTGTCGTGTCCTCTCCCGTTGCGGAGCACAGGCTCCAGACACGCAGGCTCAGCGGCCATGGCTCACGGGCCCAGCCGCTCCGCAGCATGTGGGATCCTCCCGGACTGGGGCATGAACCCGTGTCCCCCGCATCGGCAGGCGGACTCTCAACCACTGCGCCACCAGGGAAGCCCAATACACCAATTTTAAAGTCTTCTCCTCTTGTTACCTTTCTCCTCTCTGGCATTCATCTAATTTCCCTTTCTTTTGTAGGCCAGCAGCCAAATGAAACAGCAAAAATATTCAACGAAAGTCTCCTTCCGTTCACAAGAGATCCCTTTAGCACCATCTTCATACCGTTCAGCAGATGCAGACTTCACAGGCTATGGTATGAGTCTTTCTCTGAGCAGAATTGAATCCACTCATCAAACCTTAGAAAAGGAAGGGATAGTGATGTCCTGAAGAGAGCACTGGACCAAGAGTCAGGAAGCCTGGCTGGCATCCCTGCTCTGCTTCCTGAGCTTTGGGACTTGGGCAGGTCACTTACTTCCAAAATCATTTTTTCTCATCTCCACTAGTGGGATTGCCTATTACTTACTGAATATAAAAGTAGTAGAACAAAAAAGGCCCTCAGTAAATGCTACTTGAATCTGAGGCTTGCAGGTTATTCTCTAGTCTCTCCAAAATATTGTGTTTAGTTCATGAGTAATGTCTCTTAAAAATCACATTGAACCAAATTGTAGCCTTGCGTATGTCGACGTAAGCTATTTAAAGACTTGATTTTCAGTGCTTAAAGAAATTGATAATCACTTTCTCTCTTTGAATTCCTGGATTGAATTATGCTGACTAATGGTTGAAAATAGACCTTCAGAATGAATAATGAGTATTTCCATTTTGCTTTTATGCAATGTAAGTCAGTTTTAAAAGAAGGACTATTTAAAACACATGCTCACCAATGATAAAGCATAATCCTGCATGAATTTAGCAGACCTGACACCTTTATGGTATTTGCGTTTTACATATTTTTTCATGAATATTAACTCATGAAAAATTTATGAGGCAGGTATTATTCTAAAGCACTAGATTTTTTACTAAAATACTTGATGGATGTGGTCAGCAAACTATGACCCCTGGGTCACAGTTGGCCCACCATCTGTTTTTATATGGTCTGCAAGCTAAAAATGGTTTTCACATTTTTAAAAGGTTGAAAAAAATCTAAAGAATGTCTCATGAAAATTATATGAAATTCAGATTTCAGTGTCCATAAATAAAATTTTATTGGAATACTCATTTGTTTAGGTATTGTCTACGGCTGCTTTCACACCATAAGGGTAGAGTTGAGTAGCGGCACCAGAGCCTGTATGGCCTGTAAAGCTCCAGATATTTACCACGTGGCCTCTTACCAAAAAAGTTTGATCACTCCAATGTAGACCAATTGAGTTTTGATAATATATATCCCATATCTTTACCTCTGTAGCAGAAATTAATCATCCCACAATTTAATCTGTGGAAATTGTATTCATTCAGCCATCCACTTACCAAACATTGATTGGGGGCTTGGTAGGAGTCAGGCTTTGGGCCGGATTCTATGAGAGAAATAAATACCAAGACTGACTCAGGACTGGCTATAAGGGTAGCCAGAGGCAGAAGCAGAGGAGGGAGAGAAATGCCTCCTCCAGTATCTCTTACTATGTTTTCTCTCCTCACTCAAGAAACTAAGCTAGTGATTTACATAAGGAGTATAAACTATTTAAAGCATCCATGAAACTATGACACTGTCATACATTGTTTTTATTGGAAATTAGTGAACAATGTAGCATGAAATACATATGTTGCCAAAAGATCTCGAGTCAAATTAGGTTTACGATTTACTAGCCTTCTGATATGGCCTTTTTAAATTGTTGCCGAGGTTGTGTCATTGTTACACAAGAGGCCATTCGATTAATAAATTCCACGTGGTCAGGAGTGGCACCTATATGAAAGCCACACAATGCCAGTCCCTGGGCTGAGCACCTCAGGCACATTGTTTCTTTAATTCCTCAGACAGCCTCCTGGATAATGATTAGGTGCATTTTTCTGATGACAAATGAGCCTCAGCTGCACCCACTATTAATTTCCTTCTTGGGAGCTCACATCCACTTCTGTACCCTCCCAAAACTTGTGCCCTTTGGTCCCTAAGACAATGATTATCGCTGAGTCAGAGCAGAGCCCTCACAGGCTTATCTAGGGCCTGTGTTCTTTTGTTTTCTACCAAGTGTCAGCAGACTTCTTCTGTAAGGAGTCAAGGAGTAAATATAAGGCTTGCGGGCCACGTGGTATCTCTGTTGCAGCTACTCAACTCTGCTGTTAGCAGCCGTAGACTAGATGTAAATGAATTAGCGGGGCTGTGTTCCAGTAAAACTTTACTTATAGACATTAAAATTTAAATTTCATATAATTTTCACATGTGTTGAAATGTTATTTTTCCTTGGATTTTTGTTTTTCAGCCTTCTGAAATAAAACCCATTCTTGGTCCTCGGGCCATAGTGTACTGGCCCCAACTTGTACAGAGGTCTGTGGATCTGTTTGGCCCCTGTGCATTAGCTGCAGCTGACCAGCAGATGGGGCCCTTTATTATCAGACCTTTACCAAATTATATCACTGTGAAAAATCAGTACTCATGATGATCAAGACTAGTTATCAAAAAAGATGACGTTCTCTAGAAAATATTATTTGTATAAGAGTCTCTTGAAACTAACATTTTGAATGTTTGGATTTTTCAGTGGGCTAGGTTTGACTGAAGATGCATATGTGTTAATATTTTTTTTCCCCCAGTTTTTAGAAAAACCCAGTCTAAAACAATGATTTTTGAAAGTAAAACAGCAACAACTCTTTTCACAAGCCTTTTCAGTTATGGACCCAGCAATTAATTCTACAGTGTTGTGTTTATAACACTTTTTTTTTTTTTACTATGTATATATTTGGGGATCATTTTTAGGTGATGGTTATTTTCAGTTGTGCCATACTTTATTCATTAGATACTTTATACATTTTAATTCATATGATATGCTCTAATTGAAAGTACTTAAGCACTATTTCTTAATTAGTATTTTATAACTGTAGCTCAGCATTTATACCAGTCTTTATTCTCATTATAACATCTACCTATATGTACTTAATCATTTAATCAACTTAAATTTTTCCATACCAGTTTTCATGGTATATATTAAGATTTTAAAAATGTCAAGTATAACTAAAATGGTTGATCGTGTGGGTTGGTGGTAGCTATTGTTTTAATCTCAAAAGTGTCATAGGAACGTCGTGTTTCATCCCCGGGTGAATGGGTAGTAGTGACCCAGCTTCTCACTTCATGGTGCTTGGGAGGAAAAGAGTGAAATGATAAACACATGTAAACGCTGCGCTCCCCGAGCAGTGGAGTGTGCAAGCTGAGCTGCATCTCCTACTTGCCAGTCATTCTTGTGTTCACTCCTTCCTCAGGTGGTTTCCATGCTCCTATGTCAGTGGACCCTGCCACGTGTCCCATTGTTCCTGGCCAGGAAATGATTATAGAAATATCCAAGGGGCGTTCAGGGCTTGGTCTCAGCATTGTGGGAGGAAAAGACACACCCTTGGTAAGTTTCTAGAAGTGAATTATATCCACTGGCACAGAGTTAGATGCTGAGCCTTATTATAGCCTTGGGTCACTTCTGTGGAAGACTTGGCTTTTTCATAGTACGTAAGTATATGAACTATTGTTATTATGATCATTATCATCATTATTATATAGTGGACTGCTACATAAAAGTGTACATCACTTACTCCACTCCCAAAATTTAGGCTTGGCTTTATTTTATTTATTTATTTATTGCGGTACGCGGGCCTCTCACTGTTGTGGCCTCTCCCGTTGCGGAGCACAGGCTCTGGACGCGCAGGCTCAGCGGCCATGGCTCATGGGCCCAGCCGCTCCGCGGCATGTGGGATCTTCCCGGACCGGGGCACGAACCCGTGTCCCCTGCATCGGCAGGCGGACTCTCAACCACTGCGCCACCAGGGAAGCCCGGCTTGGCTTTATTTTGACCATGTTCACGTCTACTCGTAATTTTTTTTTTAAATTGGCCTAGAACGTTAATTTTTACTTGAATGATGGATCTTTGATTATTCAGTATTTTGATTGTCCTGATCAACAGTGCCATTAAAATGTAAAACTTCCTGGGTTTTGATTTACAAAAATGTGATTAATCAATGTGCATGTATTACTTGAATAAGTAATACATGCACATTATTCAAAGTTAAACTGACACAGAGGATATAAAGTGAATGGTAAATCTCCCTCCTATCCTTTTGCCCTAGCCTTGCCCTTCAACCCCACCCCCGATCCCAACCAGGGCCTCCCCCTAGAGACAACCACTCTTACTAATGAATATGCTTTTAAATGAACATTTTGGTATTTCTTTTGCTCATTTTATTTGGTAAGAAGTAAATTGTATATGCCATATTTACAGTTAAAACAAGTATAGTATCAATAAAATAATTCTTTCCATTTTTGACAGGAATATGTTTCTGTGTTAGTACTGTTGGAGGGGGCAGGGAATCCTGTTCTGTTTTTCTGTAATGAATATTAGTCCCCTAAGGCACTAGGCAACTCAAGAATAGCATAGGCTGCAGAAACCAGGGTCTTACTGCCTTCTACATGTTTCCTGGTCATGTTCCTCCTCTCTCCTGCTATCCGGACTGATCTAGAGAATCCTATGTTTAGTTTGACCCTACTAGTGAGCCACCTGAACCTGAATGTGCTCAGAGGTCGGTGTTTATTTATTAAAGGATTTTATTTCCTTCAGCTCAATTAAAGTATTGTTAAAACTTTTCTCCAGGGTTCAGAATAATTTATTTCCTGAATTACTCTGCCTTGGCTTGTGCAGGCGGGAACTGCTGTGTGTAGCATCCAGTGTGCACTGTGACCTTTTCATCAGCTTGGGTGGAATTGGGAACGCCTGGAGTCAGCCAGCTCAGCCAGTTTTAGCTCCCAGCCCTTTCATGGGTCTTTGGCTCCTTAAGGCCCCAGAACTTTTCTACTTTGTTGTCTGGCTTGGAATGCTCTCTGTTCAGCTTTTGTCATTGAGGAAAGGGGAAAAGTCTTCCTTAGAAGCTTCCCTTCAAGTGATTTGGCCTAGGTTATATTTTCAAATTGTGTTTTTAATAATGCCTTCTAATTATATGTGATCTGGCCTTTGAACAGTTCATAGAATCACTTCAGCCATCCAGCAAGCTCCTAGTGTACCAGGAGGTAACATACCACCAGTAGAGGACCAGACCAGTGTTACCCAGACCCACATGCATCCCAGCCTCTTAGACTCTCTCACCACCCCTCGAACTGCTCTCTTCTTGCACCACCTACCGGCCCATCAAGATTCTGTACTTCCTCCAGCCCCCGCCCCGCATCCTTCCTTGCTTCTCCAGCCTCCATGATCTCTCCTCAGCTGATCTGGGAGCTGGTGGCTGACCATCCCTCCCCTTTAGCTCTCAGCCATACTTCCTCTCTACCATTCCCAGCTGGGGCAGGTTCCTTAACCTCTCTATTTCCTGATCTATTAAAGGGGACTGTAATACCTTGTAGAGTTACCAAGAGGATCAAAGAGATGACCTTAGCCTGGTGCCTAGTACATGGTAAGCAACTTCACAAGACATGTACCTTCTCCAAGCCTCAGTTTCCACATATACTAAGTAAGCCCAATAATCCCAACCCACTTGGTTGTGGTGAGGATCAGAGACTTTGTAAACAGTAGAAAATTTTATGTATATACATATATATCATTGTTCTACAAAGGCCATCGGGGTAGTTTTCAGAGACTGCTGGTTGACCTTGAACATTAGAGATGTCTGCCTCCCATAGCCTGTTGCCTCGTTTTCCCAAAGAGATGTTCTTGCATAGTAAGTAAATTGAATTTGTATAACGTTCTATTTGAAATGAACCAGAGAAATTATGCTTTAAGGAAATTCTTCAGTGAATTCTTTCATAAAGAAAAAGTCACCCTCTGATTTATTTGTTGTAAATATAAGTCTCTTAATAACTGGTTAAAATAAGACAGCATTAGATTTCCCAGAGGGAATTGGAAGACTTTAATCAGCGTGTCTGGCCTAGCTGAGTGAGTTTGTTGGCTGATTTTTTTTGTTTTCCTTTCGTTGTTATCGATTTGATTTTTGCTTTGTGTGGGTTGGTTAGGTGTGCCTGTCTGCTCTTGGGTCTTTAATACTGTGTACATTTGTGCTCCCGGCCACCAGCTTGAGGGCTTCCACTGCTTGACCTCACCTTCTGCATCCTGCATGAGAGGCTGTTTGAGAAATACTGTGCTCTGCTTCTCTTGCTACCATGAGGCAGCCAAAAAAAATTCTTTAAGAGCGTCTTGAGGTTCATAATATATGGTTCTGCCTTTTGAGACTGCAAATCCCATTGTCCTTGGAAGGATAAGCAGCACTTAAAAATGAGAAATGAGACACAGCTTTTATTTCCTAACCTTAGGTACCTCATCAAAAGCTGTAAGTTAGACTCACAAGTAATATATAGGCATGATATTTTGGTGAGGCTGAACAGGAGGTGGGTGGAAGGTGCTTTAACAAATAAAACCATTGTTTGCCACAATGAGGGTCTTTCTTTTTTCCTTCCCCCCCACCCCACCGCCTGGCTCCAAATTCTTATATGGGACACATAGCCTAATTGACACTCCAGGTCACTTTATCCAGTCAGGTCCTGGGAGTGCATCCAGCCAGCAGGAAGTTAGCAAACAAAGATGAGAGCATATTAAAGGAAATCGTGGACAATGTTGAGATCCACTGACAGAAGCACCTTTGCACTTCCTTATTTGCATCCTGATATGCATCCTTATTTTAGCTCTGGTGCTGGGAAAGAGCACATTCTAAGGGCTGGTGATCCTTCTTAAGCATTTGCCCCAAACCACACCCCGCCCTCCCCCGTGCCCAATTAGGGTTTCTGTGCCCTCTTTGTTGTGTGTCCAACAGATTTTTTTTTTTGCCATCTTTAGAGGAATTAAGCCTCTGGGACTTGGTCTTGACACCACATCAGTTCTATCTGCTATAAATAGTTTCTCTGGATCCAAGACAGGTGGTTTCTGAGATCACAGAGGGAGATCTCACTTGGCATCTCATTGTATTTGCACCCAGTCATCTAAATAGACCTCTTAAAATACCAAGGTAATGCTGAAGGTGACCCCCCTTGGGAAGGTTGAGGAGCACACCTGGACCCAATCCTCAATGACAACCTTTTCTTCTGCTGTTTTAACCATATGATGTGTCCCCAGGTCTGCTTTTGGTGAGTGTGGCTCCTCTGATAGGAAGCATGTGTTTGCTCAAAGGCTGCCCTTTGCTTAGTGCTGAGGATACAAAATTGAATGAAATAGCCCTGCCCTTAAAGAGCTCACACGCTCATTTAAGTTGATTCTACTGCCTTTAATGTTTGTGGTCTATATAGGGGATCAACCAATGAAAAATCCTAATAGGGACTGTTAAAATAGGGAATTTCTCTGGAAAGTGGAACAAAGTAAATCTGTAGTATGAACTTTCTAGATTTAATTAATACAGGCTAGTTTTTATGTGTTTCTTGTAAGCAGGTGTCTTAGTCTGTTCAGGCTGCTGTAACAAAATACCACAGACTGAATAGCTTACAAACAACAGAAATTTATTTCTCACAGTTCTGGAGGCTGGAAGTCCAAGATCAGGGTGCCAGCATGGTCGGATGAAGCCCCTCTTCTGGGTTGCAGGTTTCTTGTATCCTTGCATGGTGAAAGGAGCAAGGGAGCTCTGCAAGGGGGCCTCTTTTTTGTGTGTGGGGGGGGGGGGGTTGTTTTTTTTTTTTGCGGTACGCAGGCCTCTCACTGTTGTGGCCTCTCCCGTTGCGGAGCACAGGCTCAGCGGCCATGGCTCACGTGCCCAGCCGCTCCGCGGCACGTGGGATCTTCCCGGACCAGGGCACGAACCCGTGTCCCCTGCATCAGCAGGCGGACTCTCAACCACTGCGCCACCAGGGAAGCCCAGGGGGCCTCTTTTATAAGGGAACTCATCCCATTCATGAGGGCTTTGCCCTCATGACCTTATCACCTCTCAAAGACCCTGCCTCCTTTGAACAGGGGCACTAGGATTTCAACAATTGAATTTGAGGGAGGCACACAGCCAGGAAACCAGATAAGGCACATTACATAAAAGAGATCGTATATTAATTAATATTTTAAAAACTTCCTTCCATCCATCTATCTAGCCATCTTTTCATCCTGTCTCCCTCCCACCCCCTTTTTGGTCTTGGAGTGGTAATTTGCATGAAATCCTGTGTCTCAGAAGACTTGGCATATTCTGCCAAATGGAAGACCATGGACTCTTACCTCTTATGATGCTTGCATCATATTTCTAGAATCCCTCAATGCCCCCTTCTCAGAAATGTTTGCTTACTGACTAGAAGTTTTATTTGCAGTGTCCTCAGAAGAACTGAAATATAGCGCTCCAGTGTCATTTATTGGGGTTATTTTATTATCAGTCTTGGGAATTCTAGAGAAGAGAAAGGAAAACTTAAATATTTTATTTAAGCATATTGGCAGACTTGAACTGTTCTTGGGATTGAGCAAATGAA